TCACAAAGTCACTACACATTCCGAGCACAACTTCAAGGCCACAAGGCCAGTTCACATGCAGGAGTACATATATATAAAGAAGGCTAGACAAGCAAGAGCAGGTATATATATATGTAACAGTACAAGCAAGGTCAAGAGGTGAGCAAGTGAGGCAAGGTAGGCACAAGGCCCAGCTGAGTACAGAAGCGCAGATGGTCACAAGGCGCAAGCACCTTGGTGAAGATATCAGCAGTGTTGGCCTCAGAGGCCACGTACGCAAGTCGCAACTGACCACGCTGCTGCAACTCACGAGCAAGAAAGTAGCGGAGAGCAATGTGCTTCGTTCTTTGCTCCAGTCGCTGCTCCCGACAAAAGGCCAGCATGGCCTTGTTGTCTACGTACAGCACTGGAGGAGAACGAGGCGGCTCTCCGAGGTCAGTCAGTAGGTAGGTGAGCCAGCAAAGCTCCTGTGCAGCCATGGCTCCTGCGTAGATCTCAGCCTCACAACTGGAGCCGAGAACAGAAGACGAGCGAGTAGCCTGCCACGAAACAGAGTCGGAACCAAGGCTGAAGGTGTAACCCTGTGAGGAACGCTGCATAGCCTGGTCATCAGCCCAAGAAGCGTCTGCGTGCCCAGTAAGGACCACTGGACTCTGCCCTCCAAGCACAAGCCCCATGCCAGACGTACTGCACAAGTAGCGCAACACCCTCTTCGTTGCAGCCATGTGCTCCGGTCTGTGTCTCCCAGGAGCAACATAGCGTGCGAGAATGCTAAGATGGTATGCAAGGTCAGGTCGTGTGCAGGTCATCAGGTACATGAGGCAGCCAACAAGCTCTGGATACGGGCCACTTGATTCTACGGACTCATCCGAAGGCAGAGCTGAGAGCGAGTGGCGAGTAGGCAGAGGAGTGGCCTGAGGCGAGGAGTACGTGAAGCCGAAGCGCTGAAGGACCTGCTGCACCATGTGTGACTGAGTCAGGGTAGTGGTGCGGCGTGCTCTGTCCCGAGTGATCTGCAAGCCAAAGTAGCTGCGCAGTTCACCCAAGTCAGTGCACGTGTGTCTCTTCTGCAGCTCAGACTTCACGTGGGCGAGTCCAGCAGTGTCAGCTGTGGCAAAGACCAAGTCGTCGACGTACACGAGGATGTAGAACGGCGGCAAAGAAGTGTCGGTGCGCAGAAACAGCGACGGGTCGGCAGTAGAGGGAGCAAACCCAAGAGCTGCAAGTGTAGTCCTCAGTGTGTCGTGCCACTCACGCGGTGCCTGCCGGAGACCGTAGACTGGCTGCCGGAGGCTCCACTGGGTGCCAGGAGGAAAAGACCTAGTGAAACCAGGTGGGCGACGCAGCTAGATCTCCTCGTGCAGGCTGCCCTACAAGAAAGCAGTGCTAAAGTCAAGAGAGTGTAGCTCGTAGTCACGGTGAGCAGCTATGTGCAGCAGTACTCGAAGAGTGGTCATCTTCGGGGTGGGGGAGAAGGTCTGAAAGTAGTCAACTCCCTGCCGCTAACTGAAGCCAAGAGCCACGTAACGCGCCTTGAAGACAAGCGGAGAACCCGGCGGTCGCTTCACCCTGAAAATCCACATGCCACTGACGATTTTCGCATCAGGAGGGGGAACAGCGTCAACGTAGGTGCCTGTGGACTTCCAAGAAGCCATCTCTGCGTCCATAGCTGCCTGCCACTAAGAGGAGTAGGGACCCTCTATCGCCTCCGCGTAAGAGCGCGGAGTCGGGATGTCTGGTGCATCCGGGTCTCCCTCAGGGGTAAGCAGTACGGACACGAGATGAGGTGAAGCAGCGGCCAAGCACTGGAACTCCTCCTGCCTGTCCTCGAGGACGTCCGTGCCAAGGGCAATCTCACCCCCGACGGATGGAGGACAGACAGACTCAGACTCAGCAAGAAGACTGGCGGCGTAGTCTAGGCGACTACGAGCAGCAAAGTCGACGAGCTCAGTAACTAGGGCAGACACAGCAGTGGACGCAAAGGAAGGGTCAGTGACAACAGTAGCAAGGAGATGCGTGACAGTAGGACTGGCAGCACGAAGAGAGTCCGACTCCGGGTCGGCAAGAGCAGGAAGAGAAGACTCAGGAGGAGAAGGCAAAGGGGCACGCAGAGGAGCAGTGTATGGACGCAGAGACATCCGGTGCGTGCCAGGGACAGGAGGAGGACGCTGACGCGAACCGCGACCACTAGTGCGAGCAGCATGGACAAGCGACGCAGGGCGAGACGCAGGTTCACGACGCTCAGCAAGACCTCTAGTAAGACCAGTGTAGGGAGACGGAGCAGGCAATGGGGAGGCCGGCTGTAACTGTAACCGCGACGGGACAGGCCGGGGACACTCTAAGGGAGGAGGAGGACCAGTAGAAGACGGGAGACCAAGAACCTGCTGAAGGAGCGGAACGAAGTACAACCGAGGCCGTGCGGCGACTCCTGACACAGCAGGGACAGCACTCGCACCCCTAGTGGCAGCACCAGCAGTACCCCCAGCAAGACCGCCTCCAGGACCGACAGTAGTAGCTTCCGCGCCAACACCCGCAGCAGCTCCAGCTCCAGAAGTAATCGTAGGTCCAGCAGCTCCAGTACTCCCAGTACGAGCACCTGCAGGACCCGTGGCACCAGCTCCCTCAGTAGCAACAAAACCTCCAGTACCTGCAGCACCTCCAACTCCAGCAGCTCGCCTCCAGCGGCGGGCAAACCACTCACGCAGCTCCTGTGGAGAGAGTGGCTCCCGGCAAGAAGAAGCACCAGGAGAGCCGCCAGGCACAGCACCAGCAGGCCCAGCTCCCTCAGGTTCCGCACCCCCAGGCTCACCACCTCCAGGCGTAGCACCCCCGGGCTCAGCACCCCCAGGCTCAGTACCCCCAGGCTTAGCACCCCCAGGCTCAGCACCCCCAGGCGTAGCACCTCCAGGCTCAGCACCCCCAGACTCAGTACCCCAAGGCTCAGCACCCCCAGTCGTCGTACCCTCAGGCTCGGCACCCCCACGCGTAGCAGCGACACGCTCAGCACCCCTACAGTCAGCACCCCCAGGCTCAGCACCCTCAGCAGCAACAGAGTCACCAGCGACCTCGACAGGCTCAACAGCGTCTACCTGGTACACACCTGAAGGGGCAGGACCCTAAGGGGGGAGGGGGTCTACCGGGGGGGGACCTTGCACAAGGAAGAGCAGTGGCGGGGGGAGGGACGGAGGGCGGTAGGGGAAGAGACGGTAGTAGGGGACCGACTCGTCGAACGTGACGTTCTGGGAGGGCAGAACACGGTGAGAGGTGGGGTGGTAGAACTGCCACCCTGGCGCGTCAGGGGGGAAACCCAGGAAGACGCAAGGAGCAGCACGAGGGGACAGCCTGTCCGCAGACAAGTCGCGAACAAACGCCCAAGATCCCCAGACACAGAACGCAGACGCATCGCCAACCTTCCCCGTCCACAGCAAAGCTGGAGAGGTCTCCGGCATGGAGACCCTGGGCTGAAGGTTGATCTGATGCGCCGCGTACCGGACCGCAAACGGCCACAGAAAATGGGGGGCAGCCGCATGCATCATGGACGTACGAGCGACGTCCATGACCATAACAATGCTGCGCTCAGCAATCCCATTTCGCAGTGGAGAGTCCGGAAGCGTGAAGGTCTGGCGGATGCCTCGTGCACGACAGTAGGCTCGCAGAAGGCCAGAGGAGAACTCTCCGCCTCTGTCAGAGTGCAGACGCAGAACAGGAAAGTCCGAGCCAAAGCTCCGCCTGAGCTGGAGACGAGCTGCGCGGATCCAGTCGATCAACAGCTCAGTGACATCACCCTTGCTGCGCAAGGGGAAGAATGTGGTGTAACGCGAGTAGTCGTCAACCACCAGCAGGAAGTAGCGCTCGTGACCCTGTCCACGGACGCGGGCTGGGCCCCACACGTCCATGTGAATCATCTGCAGCGGGTCCTCTGTCCGAGGAAACTAGGAGGAGTGAGGGGCAGTCCGCTGCCGCCCCTCGACACAGGGGACACAGGTAGGGCCAGGCCCCGGAGGAAGGGGAGGGAGGGACCGGGGAAGACCAGAGACAAGGACACGGGAGGCCATGCTTCGGAGACGTAGCAGGGAGGGGTGACCAAGGCGGTGGTGCCACAGGAGAGTCTCGTAAGACAAGAGGCGACACGAGCAGGGGGCAGACTCAGGACCAGACCTGGACGATGCAGCTAACACCTAACCTGACGCAACTACCTGACCAGACGCAGGGTTTGGAGGAGACGTAGTGGTCAGTGTGTATAGGCTCGACCCGGGCCGACGTGTAAACGTGGCCAGGTGTCGGTCTGTTCTAGCGTCCGTGAAGTGGGTCACCCGCTGACTCGCAGGAGTGAATAGGTGAACCCCCGCATCCTGTAGGTCAGCACCACTCACCAATTTCGTAGAGAACGAGGGGAGGTAAAGACCAGACAGGGTGCCAGAGCGGGCTGCCGGACACGGGAGGACAGTGGAGAAGTGAGCAAGGACAGGACCCCCAAAGGGGTCTGCCAGGGAGACTGCAACTGGCCGACCAAGCGGCGTGAGTGTGGTGCGGTCTCGAAAGAAGGAGCGAGAAGCCCCCGAGTCATGTGTGAAGGTGTGGGAGGCCGAAGCCGACGCAGTACCTGAGAGCGCAGACTCACCAGTACCTAGAGCCACGACCTCCTCCTCCTCCTCCTCCGCCACCACCTCCTCCACCTCCGCCACCTCCACCACCTCCGCTCCCACTGCCACCGCCGCCGCCGCCTCCGCCTCCACTGCCGCCGCCGACACCTCCAACCCCGCCACCACTCCCACCACCACCCCCACCCCCTCCACTGCCTCCACCGCCGCCTCCACCGCCCCCGCTAGCTCCTCCAGCGCCCCTGCCCCCCTTGCCCTTCCCAGAGCGACGCTTCCCACTAGGGGTAGACGCCGCACCGACCGACTCCAGACCAGCGAGGTCGGCCGCAGCAGCAGAGGCAACAGAGGCCAAAAGAGGGGAGGGGGAACACCCCCCAAAGATGGGGGTGTGTGGGTCACCACAAGAGGCCCCTACAGCGACTATGCTCTTCTCTCTGCTAGGAGGGCCTTCTCAAGGAGGTCAATAGTGAGAGTGGTGGGACAGACTGAGAGAAAGTGGTCCCTGACTACGCGAAGGGAATCAGGGAGGCGGGTGACTATGTAGTAGAGAGTGATGTACATTGGGGGGGGGGGGTTCTTGGCGCAGAACTCAGTAGGAAGCGCAGCGCAGTAGCGAGTGTCACTAGTGCGGAGGTGCGTAATGTGGTCAGCGACTGTGGGAAAGGCAGCAAGGTCAGGGAAGAGGTACGGTAGCATGAGGCGGCTCAGTGCAGCTGTGGCAGGGGAGGAGTAGCGTGCAACTACAGCGTCGTACAAGGTCTGAGCACTCTTGTACGGGCTAAAGTGCGCACGCCCAGAGGTAGGCAGGTGGCGACGCACAGCAAGACGTGCAGCAGCATCGCGCGTGGCCCACTGTGAGCGGACACTGGCGTCAGCATCAGCAGCAGGGGCAGGAGAGGCACCAGAGGTGAGGTCAAAGAGAGAGAGACCGTCCGCCCTATCGCACTGTAAGAAAAGCTGCAGGTCATCTATCCAGACGTCAAAGTCAATGGCCCGACCCTCAGCGTCAAAAGCGAGGACACTAGGGGTAGCCATGACAGCAGTAGACTAGCTTCGCGATCAGTAGGGTGAGGGCAGTGCAGTGTTAGAGGCGCTGCTCTTACCAGACAGGGCGGCTCGGGTGGCTCGGCTGCAGGGCGACTCGGCGGCTCGGCAGCTGGGCGGTAGGCGGCGCGGAAGCTGGGCGTCTCGGCGGCTCGGCTGCTGGGCGGCTCGGCGGCTCGGCTGCTGGGCGGCTCAGCGGCTCGGCTGCAGGGCGGCTCGGCGGCTCGGCTGCTGGGCGGCTTGGCGGCAGGGCGGCTCGGCGGCTCGGCTGCTAGGCGGCACAGCGGCTCGGCTGCTGGGCGGCTCGATGGCTGGGCGGCTCGGCGGCTCGGCTGCTGGGCGGCTCGGCGGCTCTGCTGCTGGGCGGCTTGGCGGGGCCGTAAAGGAGGCGGCGGAAGGGCCGCTGAGAGGGCGGCGTCCGGGGCCGCTGAGAGGAGGCGGCTGGGCCGCCGAGAGGAGGCGGCGGGGCCTCAGAGAGGAGGCGGCGGGGCCGCCGAGAGGAGGCGGCGATGCCGCTTAAAGGAGGCGGCGGGGCCGCTGAAAGGGCAGCGACGAGGCCGCTGCACGGGTAGTGGCGGGGCCGCTGAAGGAGACGGCGGGGCCGCTGAAAGGAGACAGCGGGGCCGCTGAGAAGGGCGGCGACGGGCCGCTGAAGAGGGCGGCGACAGAGCCGCAGGGAGGGCGGCGTCAGGGCCGTGCAAGGGCGGCGACGGGGCCGCTGGTGAAAGGGTGGCGAGGGGCCGCAGGGGGAGAGCGGCGACGGGCCGCGAAGGGCGGCGGATCGGGGCCGCAAAAGCGGCGGATCGGGGCCGCAAGAGGCCGCTAGGGAGCCGTGAGGGCGGCTTGGGTGGCGCGACGCGGGCGCTAGGGCAGCGCGACGGGGCTGCTAGGGGCCTCTAAGGGCGACACGACGGGGCCGTGAGGGTCCTAGCGAGGGCGCGACGGTAAGGAAAGCACACGAGGCGCGACTCGGGCCTAAGCGGAGCGCGCTCCGGGCAGGAAAATTTTTTTTTGTAGTGGTGGGCCCTAGGAATCGTTCCTGTTAGGGAACCTGCTCGATACCATGAGAAGAAACGAGAATGATTGAACTATGAATGAATTGGGTACGAGTACTAACCCTAATTGGGTTGTACCCCTTGTGGGCTACCCCACTATAGCCTACACAATATGCATGAGCTATAATGTTCTGACAGGTATGAGAGCAAGAGTGGATTATAAGATCTGCCAAGTCCTCGTCCTTCCTAGAACAATCTCGTTATATACTTACTCAATACATTTCTAAGTCTGCAAAATTATGGCCCCTAAAGGGAAAGCTACTGCATGTCAGAATCCCAACCACTAGACCATTGGGATAAAAGGGCTTGTTAAGTAGCGGGTCAGTGCGCCCATAACCCCACAGGCCAACATGCCTGTAACCCTTCCCTAGGATCAATCGGGGATCACCAGTGGACCTGTGACACTGCAGACTCACCGGGTCCACCACCAGCAACGACTAATGCGCCATCAGCGGTGACCTCCGTCAACGCCGCTGTTGTTGAGCAGCTAGTCGCACGCATCAACGCTCTTGAGAGCCACCAAGCAATGAGCGTTGACGGCTCCAGCTACGCCAGAGGAGTTGCTGGACTCCCTCTCCCTGGGGAAGACCGCCGCGTCAACTCCGAGAGGTCTTTCACCTTTGACAATCATCAAGGCTCAGCTCCTGCACAAGACAACCTAGAACGAGCACAATCACAAATTGTCTCTATGCAAACCAAGTTTGTATTAACTTCAATACTAAAGACCTCAATTCCTTTTGACGACAAGGATTTCTACACGTGGAGCTTCGAATTTGAGCTTATCGCGACAACCGCTCAGATCTGGATGTATTACGACGGGAGCCTACCTTTTCCTACGGAAGGCACCATCCAAGAGAAGCATCAATACTACCACGAATCCCTCCTCGCCTATACCACTCTCCTTCGAAATCTCTCACCTGAAGAGAAGCTTGGCATCCGTCCCTACAAAACGGAATGGGCTCCCACGCACGTGTCCTAGGAGCAGCTGCGCAACTCATACATGGCAACAGATCCAGTCACTATGAGTCGTCTGCTCAGCCAGTCGACTTCGATTAAAATGAAGCAAGAGGAGAAGGCGGGACCGTATGTTAACCGGTGCCGCAATCTGCGTGATCAAGTCAAAAAGTGTGGTGGGACCATTCCCAACGACACGTTCATTTCTATTGGTGTAAGGGCCTAATAAACTCAAGCTATTAAGACTTTATCAAACTTAAAACCTCTCCTCGGGGTCACCTCCAAAGGTCCTTGGGTGCCTGGTACAAGACCAGCCCCTATCCTTGGGTCCGAGTTTGTAGAGAGAGGGATCAAGAGGGACTTAGTCAAAACAGCAAGAGTACCTTGAACGTTGCGCAGTGTATTGTGCGGACCGTCGATCGGATTAAGCTGAGAATTTGCTATATCGAAACTCGCTCCAAGAGCTTTAAAATGAACCAAGTTGCCTCGCGAAAAGTTCTGCCATTACGAAGTTATGGCTCGGACAGCGTTTGCCTAGTGTTGGAGTGCTAGCGTACTAGCGTTGACTCGGGTAGCATTCCGCCGTCGCACCGCGTGGAAACGAAATTCCAGGAAGGGAGGAATTCGCTTGAATCAAATTGACTATGTCCAGGTACAAACAGAGAAGGAATAAACAGTTCTAGCTAGCAAGGACCTTGGGAATAAACCTGGGAACAACCAGGGATGATCCCAAATAATTCCAAGCAACAGAACCAACCTGGCTGGACAAAACAGCAGGTGGTAGGTTGGTAAACAACCTCTGGTTCTGTTTTTCCAACCTAGGAAAACAACAACCAGGTTCAGGTCCTAAAAACAGAACCTGTTTTTGTCTTTGTCCAACCAGCCAAATGCTGGTTCCGCTGGTTTCCCCTGGCCCTGTAGCAAGCAGATACAGACAAACAACATCCAACCTTCACCTAAATTGTACCCCTATAGTGCCTGCCCTGCTACACTATAGTCAACCAAACAAAACAGTACAATTTCGAGTTGGATAGAACTGGATCTGCACTATCAATTCAACCGAACCGCAAAGCTTCCATCTTGGGTTCCTTTGCGAGCTCGTCCTTTCTGCTTGTACTGTTCATAGCACGTACAATGTTGTGCAGAAGCGCACAATGCGCGAGTACCTGCAAATGCTTTAAGCAAAAATTGCGAAAGCAAACAAACATACGAACATTCCATTCACACCCAAATGCATTCGCACACGCATACTCGTACAAACAGACGGCAGGATGTCGTGCAATGTGAATTTGCACCCAACACAATCCCCCTCAGCCTGTCGGCTGCATCCCCATCATTCCATACTAGTTCATGTTCATTCCACTCATGCGCACACAGCGCCAATGAGGCTCATCTGCAAGCCTCTTGGTGAGGAAGTCTGCTGGCTGCTGGTGAGTCTTGATGTAGATCGGATTCACCGTCCCCCTCTTCACCTCCTTACGCAGCCAGTGCCACTTGATACGCATGTGCTTATTGAGCCCATGAAGCACAGCGTTTGTGGCCATCCCAAGAGCCCCCTTGCTATCAGAAAAGAGCGGCGTAGCAACCTTCTGCTCCTGGCCAATCTCCTCTAACAGCCTCCTCAGCCAAATCACCTCCTTCACCCCATAGAACATCGCCATGTACTCTGATTCCACGGAAGAGAGTGCCGTCTCCGTCTGCTTCTTTGACCTCCAACCAACAGGTCCTCCCCCAACTACGCACATGTATCCTCCCACAGATGAGGAATCCTTCTTCTCAGAGGCCCACGTAGCATCGGTAAAGCAAGTGAGAAAGAGCTTGCCTTCTCCAAGCCTCTCCCCTTTCTCTTTCAGCACCTCAACCCCTTTCTGCTTCACCTCTGCAGATGCGGAGTATTGAACTCCAATGCTTGGGTGAGAGTTCAGATACTTCACCACACGCTCAGCTACATCCACCTGCTCCTCTGATGGATTCTGCACCACCCTAGCCAGCTGCCCAACCAAGAAAGAGATGTCGGGCCTAGTGTGAACTGCTGCATACAAGAGGCTGCCCACCAAGGACTGAAATTGCTGCTGCTCCTCGGCTTCCACCCCTTCATCCTCTGCAGCTTTCACAAGCTTGAATTTTGCTGGCAGGGGAGTTGCAACTTTGCGCTCATTCTCAATCCCGTACTTTTCCCCCAGCTCCTTGATGAACTTCTCCTAGTACATCTTCAACCACCTGTGATCCAAATCCCTATCCACGTGCATCCCGAAGTAGTACTTTACCTCCCCAAGGTTCTTGCACTTGAAGTTCTCCATCAGCTGCTACTGCACATTCTGGATCTCCTTCATGCTGCTCCTTAAGAGAAGAATGTCGTCCACATAGACCAGAAACAGCACCAGCTTCTCCCCCTCCCCCTTGAGAAAGAGGCTCTCATCACAGCTGCTGGTCCTGAATCCCATCTCCTCTAAAACAGCTGCCAACTTCTGGTACCAGCAGCGTGGCGCCTGCTTCAAGCCGTAGATGGACTTTTTCAGCTTGCACACCCTGCCCGTACCATCCTCATACCCAGGCGGCTGCGTCATGTACAAATCCTCCTCTAAAATCCTATTGAGGAATGCCGTTGATATATCCATCCGAATGATGATTTTCCCACTAACGGCTGAATCTGCCAACAAGACACGGAGGGTAGGGGGTTTGGCAGTGGGAGCAACTCATTGAAGTCCTGCTTCTCCTTTTGCATAAACCCCTTAGCCACCAGCCTACTCTTGTAGATGGTGACCTGTCCCTTGTCATCGGTCTTGATCCTTAGCACCCACTTGCACTGTACGGCTTTCTTCCCATTAGGCAGCACCACCAGCTCCCATGTCCCATTCTCTAGCAGGCTCTAGTACTCAGCATCCCTGGAAACCAGGCACTTCTCCCTATCTGGTCTAGCTAATGCCTCCTCCATGCTAGCTGGTTCCTCTGGTGCAGGGGCAAGAAAACAGTAGGCAGTTT